TTTCATCTATAACCGAAAATTGTTGGCTTTGTTCAAGTAATTTTTGTATTGGGTACACGTATATAATGACAAATACACCTTGATATGAGGCAATTTGTTGAAAATTTCCGGATACTTACTGGACTAAAAAAAAAAAAACAAAAGGCGTGAAGTCTCTTTTTAGGAACGCAATGAATCAAACAGCATCTACGATTTCAACGTCACAAAGTTCTTTCTTATTGACGTAATCACACGAAACTCGACGACGCACTTGGAGTGCTAGGCTGGGAATGAACGAGAGGGTAACTGAATACGCGCCGTCATTTAAAAATAGTCATGGCTCATTTCAGGAATGGTGTTACTACCAAACTTTCGAAGATCACTCTGCTTTATTGCTTTTTCGGTGCAACAGTTCGAATTTCCCTTAATTCTACCGTTATGTATTCCATATTAACGAGAAGTAAACATGTAAAATAGTGTTCGAACGAATTAGGTGGCAAAATTAATGTTAAATTTTGTCACACGTTTTAATTTCTTTTGCTTTTCTCTAAGCCATTTACGATCGGACAAGGTCCGAATTTAAACAACTCGCTGCAGATCTGAAGGTGCCACACACAACTATTGGACACCGTATTGAGTCTCTTATCCCGACCCAGTACTTCGGCACATAGTGAAATTATTGTATTTACCTTGTTAATCTGCATACAGATTTGCTCCAGAAGTCGACAGTTCTGATTTGCTCCACATAAAAATTCTCAAGAAGGAACCCGGCATATTTAATTTGTACACAGGGGTGGCTTTTTGATTGTTCTGAAATACAAAAGCTCACGGACATGCGGGATGCGATAATTTGGCGCGGAAAAAAAAAATCAATCTAGGCCTATTTATCTCTCTTTCTGTATGTACCATCAATTGTTCTGCAAAAATTAATAAATAAATAATAAATAAATGAATAAATAAATAATAATACATCGTGTAACGCTTTTGAGATTTCAACTGCAAGAATCCAGGTAAACTTTCACAACAACGCCCAACTGAATTAAAAAGAAAACAGTACAAACAAACAAACAAACAAGTACGAAAAATGTAAAAGATGTTCCTATACCAAACTACGCCGGAGGAATTTAAAAACGGAGACTTCACTCTGAATAAGCATCAAATGTTTTCCGCACACACTACATTTTGGATTTGTGTTTGAGGAAAACTCGGGAAGGGAATCACAAGATTATCGTAACGTCATCGCTTTTGAAAAGCTTTGCTCTCAAAATGTTTTCCGTCCGCACTAAAACAGTTTAAGGAGCGTTTTCGAAGAGCTCCATTTTCGTGACGGGTTAGAGTGGACGCTAGGCCTAGCCGGGAAATAAAGGTCCGTTATCAAATTCTCCCGGCGTAGTGCCGACGGGGCCTTAATGGTACTCGCAAAGAAGAGTTGAAACGAATTATTCACGCAGTGAGCATAAAATTCAATTAGTTTTATTCCTCACAAAGATCATTCAGTAATCAAAGATCAATAAAATGTTTCTGTTATACGAAACTAGTTAAGTCCAACACAAGTGTTCTGGTGCCTTTCCCAATCTGCCGCCTGACAATTTTCATCACAATATCGGGTAACTTTGCAAGCTTCGCAGAAACACAACCATTCGCTTTCTTTGCCACAAGACGCGCATCTGGGAGCCCATGTCAAAACTAAGTCTGGATTTTCAGATATCTCCTTGAGTTGGGATTCACTACAAGAGCTGAGTTTGGCAATGGTATCATTCCTAGTTTTTGTTATGATCTCTTGTAGTTCCTTGCTATTCTTAAGCTTTTCTTCGCGAGTAAGAGCTTTCAGGTTTTCGTCCTTCTCGCGTTTGACTTCCTCGAGGCATTGTCGCGCATATCTGGTAATGTCGGTGAAAAGTTCTTCAGTGTTACTTCTCTCCCTTTTACTTGACTTAAGCATTTCCTCTTGTTCAGCCTTGAATTTCTTTCGCAGTTCCCTTCTCTCCTTGGTTACTGACATTTCAGCCTGTTTTTCGACGCTTTCATGAAACGAAGTTTGAAGCTGTGCAATATTTTCCATCAGTCGCCCTAGCAATCCTTGAATTCTGCTTATGCCTCCTGCCATAGTCTTCTCAAATTTAACAATAGTTGTCGCTTTTATCACAGAGAGTATCTCTTTGCTCGTTTGACAGCTTTGAACTGTATTTGTGCTTGACTTGTTTTCCAGCGCGTGCAAAAATTATGTCACAAACGCTTGCCTTTGTTGTACACGAAAATGTACACGAAAATGGCGACATCACAACCGAATGTTTTGCGCGCGCGTTTTTTTTTAATAATTCCATGGCGCACGGATCAGTTGTTAACCAAAAGAAGTTAGAAAAAATTAAAGTTAGCGCAATACTTCGTGCCTATTATAATTTTTCCCATGTTATATAGTTCTGAAAAATTTGGTGGAACAACAAGTGGGCATCCCCTTTTGAGGACAAATCGATAACATTTTTCCATATTTAAACTCTTAAGATAAAAAGGAACCACGAGCCGCAGGCAAGTGATTTCAGTCATTGCAAAGTTTTGACGTTTTACGGGTTATTTCCACAATCTATAAGAGCGCAGACCATGGAAAATGTGGAGGCCTTGTTGTTGTTTCCTTTTACGATCGATAACACTGAATATTTTCCACCGAATTAAAAGAAAACTGCAGACGCCATATCGAAGCATCATTGTATTTTCTGGGCTTCCTCTACTTCTTCTTCTTCAGTTGCTTTCTTCTTTGTTTCTTTTAAAAAGGCACCCCAAAATAATCCAACAGATACAAGTGGTAGATTTTCAGCCAAGTCATAATGCTAAATAAACAACAACAACTTTATTTGTACTCATACCTAAAATTAAAATTCTCAATCTTCTCGCTTTAACCCACTCGGGAAAATTTCCCTCGTGCTTGCATAT